ATATGGTCACACAAGAGGAGATGGGACGCCATTGTTTTTGTTTGCGTTACAGCCAGGAGACCGGGACGATAGTTCTACACGAGAAAATTAAGAAAATAAGACCCTGGTTGTAGCTGTAGTAAATTTAATGTAAAAAAAATTAATATATATGTTTTAAGTAACGTTATTTAATGTTAATAAATGGAACAAGAGAAGTAGCTAACCACTAATGGCAAAGAAAAAAAAAAGAGATGAATTGGGAACTCCAATATATACGTGCGCATTTAAGGATACCCCATCATTTATCTTAAGAATATGTACAAAAGATTCATTATTGTTTATTACTGAATATGTATTTGATTGAATTAATCTTTATATATGTGAAATGAACAATGCAATTCATTAATAATACAAGAGGAGACAAGACAGCATTGTTTTAGCGAGTGACGATGGTTCTACATAAGAAACTGAAGAAAATAAGACCTTGGTTGTAGCTGTAGTGAACTTAATGTAAAAAAATTGAATACCTGTATGTATGTGTTAAGTAATGTTATTTAATGTTAATAAATGGAACAATAGAAGTAGCTAACCACTAATGGTAAAGAAATAAGGCGAGACGATTGGGAACGCTAACGTATGAACAGTAAGTGCGTACATGTGAAAACATATCGTCATTTCTCTACATATGAATATGAAAGCAACACTTATTTACTGTTCATATTTGTTTTAAATAATATTTACGAATGTAAAACTAAAATTCTATTCACCAATGGTGGTAAAGTCTAAAACATAAGGACAGCCAATGAATATTGTGCGAGTTTTTACTCAGATGACGAAGTCATCAGGTTCAACTCTGGCTGAAGCTGAAGCTTTCCATAAAGCTTTTGCTGAAACTGTTACTGAAGTTGATGTTGAAGCTGCATATGATGCTGAATTTGATGGTTTAGGCCAGTGGTTCTCAACCTGGGGGCCATGGCCCCCAAGGGAGCCACGGCAAGAATTTAGGGGAGCCATGGAGAGCTGTTATAAATTGTACATTTCCAAATAATGTTGGGAATCTGAATTAAACAAAACTTGTATTACTTATTTTGACTTGGCAGAAGAGAATTTTCATTCCTTTTTTTTTTCATTTTGTTTAATCATAATGAACAATACAATTTTAATATTTACATACTCTGGTGCTAATTTTTTATTTTTCACGGATTATTTAAGATTTCACAGGTCCAGTCCCTGTCTGTGTGACAGGCGCTGGACCGAGCTGCTGAACTGACTTGTTCAGTACACGTCCGTGTGTCATCCCTTTGCAAGTGGTGATAGGACCGAATGGGGGGGTTTGGGAGAAAAATGAAGGAGGCCACGAGGATGTTGAAAATTCCTCAAGGGGGGAATGGAGTGAAAAAGGTTGAGAACCACTGGTATAGGACTTCGAATAATAAAGCTGTCGAAAGAATCTTGCACAGCTCCGTTCTTTTCTCATTATACATCTTTATGTAGGGGTCATTTGCGTTTATTTAAATTTTAATGCTTTGTTCTGTTAATGGATCCACTTTAGAAAATATGTTCATTGCTTGCTCCATATAAAATCTACAGATATTATATTTCATATCGTTTTAACACATCTAGTTTCTCAGCAAAGCTTAGACACTTTCTATTAGCTTTTGAAACAACACTACCATCACTTGCTCTCTTGCTCATGTTGAATAGGGATTAAAAATTGCTGGGGGAACCTGAGAAAGTTTTTCTCCAGTACCTGTTCCAGATGCGTGAAAACAAAAGGCCCGCCAAGCTCCGACTGTTGTTTACCACTCATTAGCAAGGCAGCTTCTTTGCGCAAGGCGCTCTTCATTTTTTACAGTAATTTTTTTTTATAATACATATCGGGATTTAGTTATTATTTATATGAAAATGTAATTTTATTTTTTTTTTATTATATTTTGGTCGTAAATACGAATGAAATAAGGATGTAAATTGAATTGGGTGCTAAATGAACTCGGGTTTTAAATGTGAAAAGTTGTTGGTCAAACCTTTGTTATTGGAGGCTTTACTGTACAGGTATTTATAAGTACCATACCCTGTATGTCATTTTTTTTTTCCTAAGTGTTTCTGTCTGAGAAATTAACTGAAGTACCCTCAAAATTACCAGTCAAGAAAGAATCTCCTTTAATACATTGTTTCTTCTGGGAAAATTAGTTTCACATACAGTAAATCCCCAGAGTACGCGTATCAATAGTATGCGACCCCTCTTATACGCGTCTGACCCCCTGAACCGCTCATACACTTGGATCTCGCCCTTGCACTAGCCATCCCACCCAGCATGTTTCGCTAGCTCAGTCTGTTTATCACTTGACCGTGCTCGTTTGAGAAAAAAATCATTGCAATACCAGTTCTCTAATGTGGCTTGGAAATAAAGAAAATATCATATAAAATTATAAATTAAGAAAAATAAAGATCATGGGTGTATGTGTGTGGGAAGAGAATGTATGTATCAAGTCCATGAGCTGTAACTGCGTCGCCGACTCGTCACCCAGCGTCACTCCCCCTCCCCCTATGTGATGTTATGGCATACACACGGCGCATTTGTAGCCATACACGTTTCTTTAGTCAGCTGAGTGACGACCCTGCTGAACTGTGAGTGTTTATTTGTACATTTAACACATTCATTTGGTACCGTAGGTGTTATATTTGAGTTTCTTTGTACATGTAAGGTGTTTGTATGATACTCTTGGTTAAATTATTGCCAAGGCGTCCTTCTTTCACACTAATTCCATGAACAGTTTCCAGGCATTCGTGCTTGTAATATTTTTATTTACTGATGAATTTTACTGTAATCGTGGCCCCCAAGAGGAAAATTAGTGGCAATACTCCTGGTGGTGAGAGTGGGAAAAAGAAAACAAAAACATATTGAACTCTGAAGTTGTGCGTCGGTTACCTTAGTATAAAAAGGGGTTATATATGTATACAGGGGGGGAGGGGGACCCGAATATATGTGAATTTGCACTTATGTGGGGATTCCAGGAACATAACCCTTGTGTACTTTAGACCCTACTCAGCCTACTGTATTGCAATTTCACACCTCACAAGGGGTTTGGGAAGAGAACCCATACAATGGATGAGGATGACCTGTATAATTCTATAAAACTATAGTTAATCACTTCAACTCATTCCTCTACTTCACAAATCTGTAAGAAAGGGGCTTCAAAATATATGGAGATTTCCATTAAATGTAAAAAGATTGGATATACAATAAGGAGAAACAATCAAGATTCAGGGATTTTATTAAATTTTAATGGGAACAACCATAGCATTCAGAAACTCATTTTCTTTAGAATTGTGGGGCTCAGGTATGTGTTGAAAATATGTCTAGAGTTTTGTAGTGTAGCTGATATGGTTACTGTGATGTGATGGACATGATGCTCAGTTTGGATAATATAAAACCCTACCAATTGCATAACCTAAGTGAAGATAATTTAACATCAGGATCATTTCTTCTTTTTATCTCCCTGATATAATCTTTATGCTGTCTGTCTGTTCATTAGTACATCCATGTCTGCACATTATGAGTAGATTTAGTTTTACTCTAGGCATTTCCGTAGAACTTCATATAAAGAATGTTATCGGTAAAGGAATAAGCCTATAGATGTTGATATGTTAGTAAAGGAAACAGGGAGAGGATAAGCTACTGTATTCCAGAAATTGCTCTAGTGTTTAGTTGCTGACATAAAGTGTTGTAAACTGAGTTTGTTTTTAGGTATGAAGGAATAGGATTAAAACTTGAGTGCTTGTAACTACTTTACTTTTATATGCTTAAAATTTCAGAAGGAACGTGATGATTTATGCATAGTTTTCTCTTTGCAGTAAAACTATTCCTGACCAACTGCTGGATATCTCTAATGTGAAGAATTATGAAATAAACTTCCCAACTGGCAAGAAGTTGCAGGAGTACAGAATCATTGTTTGCACAATGGTGACTGCTGCCAGGTAGGTGAATTCCTTTTCATGCAGGTTTTTATACTCCTGAATATATGTATGAGTATGGGGTGAGGAGGGGAGACAAGAGCAGTTCAGAATCTTGGGCATTAAATATGAGATTTCAAAATGGCCAGCAAGTCCACCACCGAGATTGTTGATACAGGTATTAGTATAATAAATACAAAGGTAACTGATGCCGAGATATGTTTTTATACACCCAAACCATTGTGGTGTATCATTTTATAGTGTTGTCTTTTCAGTTTTTGTGTCCATCACATACTTTGTTTCTGCCGATAGAATATGGTAAGAAATTGATAATTCTTGTTTAATAGTTTCATAGGCTTTTTTTAATATATTTGTTTTGAAATTGTAATTTAAAGATTGAATATTTCCCACCCCCCTCCCCCAGGATAGTGTCAGCATCTCTTCCGTCTGGTCATTTAACTCATGTTTTCTTGGATGAGTGTGGACATGCAATGGAACCTGAGGCCATGGTACCATTGGCAGGTATGTTGGCCAAAGATAGCCAGGTAGTGCTGGCTGGGGACCCCTACCAGCTGGGTCCTGTCATAAGAAACTCACAGTGCTACTCCAGTGAAAAGCTCTTCTCAAATAATGGATTGGGTAAGTGTTCTCACAACTACTTTGAATTAGGATGCATTAAATAGGGTGTAATGTTGTTAGAGTATGTCGACTCAACTCATGGTAGGTTAGATTGGTTTTGGTTTAATGAGGCCAAGTGAAAGATCTTATTAGGTTAGGTTACAGCTGGTCTGGATAAGTCAAACTACAGTACAGTATGTCTGGTCTGGATAAGTTAAGATTAGGTGGCCTTAGATTCAGGTTGTCTCTAGTTACTTAGAATTAGTCTTTATACATTCTACTTCTCTATATGTTGATGCAAGAGGAATTAACAAATACTCGGGCATTCGAGTAAATTGCTGAGAGATTGCATCCTGCACTGGCTTGTGCTGAGCGTGTTGGTGGGTAGGCTCAGAATGCATGTGAGCTACAATTGGCGATTACTATCATGTGATTAACTGATGTATCTAGCAGCCTATCCATCATAACACTCTTAGTTCATCGTCTGCTGCCATTGTACAAGCTTGTTCAATTGCACACTGCTGTTTTCACATATGATCTGTGTTGTGCAGTACTGTGCATTATTGTACCAGCATATAATCAGCCAAGAATATCATTAAAGCAGTCTTAAGATGTAAAAAGTGATTACAATTATTGTACTGTAGATTTAGTAAGTGTGAAAGTACCATATGTATTGTACTGTACATAGCAGAGTGGGCAGTAAAGCCTACTGTAGAGGAGTGTGTAGAGGGTATATGTACAGTATATAGTGCATGTACACTCCCTCCTTCATGGAGGGAGAGGAGAATGACAGCAACACCTTCTACAGCAAATGATGCAGGACAAAGGCAGGTATCCTATATCATTATATCACAAGTTCAAGATGACAGCAGCTGCTGGTGAGTACAGTACAGTGTACAGTACTGTGGTATACAGTATTTAGTTTATTTACAATACTGTATATTGTACCTGTACATTAGCGTTTGCATAAATACATGCAGCTGTGTCTGTCCGAGTGCAATCTGACACGGAAACATTCACCAATGCCCGAAATTCTGGGGATGTGCAATTTTTTCAGGGGATAAGAAAAATTGTCTCAATGACCTGGAAATCTTTCAACCCGGAACCACTCTGCACCATTTATTCTGGCTGACGGGGAGATTACTGTACAGTACTGGTATTTGTACCCTTGTCTTTTCCTTTTATCTTTCTCTAGACTCACCCTTTCTCTTGCTCTCAGTCTTGCATTGTTCAGCTTTTGTTTTTGTTTGTTTTGCATTAAATTTCTAGGTAACTCTTCATTATTAGTTTTTCAGGGAGGCTTACTTAACAGATCAACTGAAAAATAATACTGTAGCTAGTTTAGGGGTTCAAGGGCTTTTTAGGCCCACTTTTACTAAAGGCATGATTGTCCCCATCCTACAGACAAATCATATTTGGAGAGATTGATGGAGATGGAGATGTACCAAGACAAAAATGGCACTTTCAACCACCAGGTGGTGACCAAACTGCTCAATAACTACCGCTCACACAAGGATATCCTCAAGGAACCAAATGAGATGTTCTATAGGTCACAGTTGAAGGTAACTATAAATTGTCTACATAATTAAAGTACCATTTATTTGGGGGAGCCCCGAGAAATCGCATTGAAAACTTCATTGTGAGAAAAAGTGATAGTGATGGGAGTTTAGATTCAGAGAGTGACATGTGGGTGAAAGACATTGTGGGAAAATACAGTAAAGCCTCGAATAAAGACGTTAATGTGTCCTCCAATATTGCAGTGCAAGGAGAATCGTTTTTTCGCGAATCATTAATTACCATTAAAATAAAGCAATAATAATGAGATGCGTTCCCATGTGTGACCTTTTCATATCTTTTGTGTGGCTTTTTACCCTCTTTTCCCCCAAAACAATACATTTAATGAAAATTGCAAACTATATTCTTTAAATAATGTTTCTGAATGCACCTTATACAATATAAATGAATAATAATATGGTCACACAAGAGGAGATGGGACGCCATTGTTTTCATTTCTGTTTACAGCCGGGAGTCCGTGACGATAGTTCTACACGAGAAAATGAAGAAAATAAGACCCTGGCTGTAGCTGTAGTAAATTTAATGTAAAAAAATTAATATATATGTTTTAAGCAACATTATTTAATGTTAATAAATGGAACAATCGAAGTAGCGCATTTAAGGATACCGCATCATATATCTTAATGATATGTACAAAAGATTCATTATTGTTTATTACTTAATATGTATTTGATTGAATTAATCTTTATATATGCGAAATGAACAATACAATTCATTATACGTAGAATATTAAAACACACAAAAGGATAACAGATGACATTGTTGTCAGTGTTGACACCCAATGTATACTGTACGTGCGCACTCAAGGAAACATAGTCATTTATCCTAAGAATACGTACAAAAGATTCATTATTGTTTATTACTGAATATGTATTTGATTGAATTAATGTTTATATATGTGCAATGAACAATGCAATTCATTAATAATACAAGAGGAGACAAGACAGCATTGTTTTAGCGAGTGACGATGGTTCTACATAAGAAACTGAAGAAAATATGACTGGTTGTAGCTGTAGTGAACTTAATTTAAAAAAAATTGATTACCTGTATGTACAGTATGTTTGAAGTAATGCTATTTAATGTTAATAAATGGAACAATAGAAGTAGCTAACCACTAATGGTAAAGAAATAAGGCGAGACGATTGGGAATGCTAACGTATGAACAGTATGTGCGTACATGTGAAAACATATCATCATTTCTCAACATATGAATATGAAAGCAACACTTATTTACTGTTGATATATGTTTTTAATAATATTTACGAATGTAAGATTAAAATTCTATTCACCAATGGCGTTAAAGTCTAAAACATAAGGACAGCCAATGAGTATTGTGCGAGTTTTTACTCACATGACGAAGTCATCAGGTTCAACTCTGGCTGAAGCTGTAGCTTTCCATAAAGCTGTTGCTGAAACTGTTACTGAACCTGAAGTTGATGTTGAAGCTGCTTATGATGCTGAATTTGATCGTGTAGCTGAAGTTGATGGTTTAGGCCTTTGAATAATATAGCTCTCGAAAGAACCTTGCACAGCTGCTTTCTTTTCTCATGATACATTTTTATGTAGAAGTCATTTGCGTTTATTTAAATTTTAAGGCTTTGTTCTGTTAATGGATCCACTTCAGAAAATATGTTCATTGCTTGCTCCATATAATATGTACAGATCTCTCACCTTTTTCATATCGTTTTAACACATATAGTTTCTCGGCTAAGCTTAGACACTTTCTATTAGCTTTTTAAATAACACTACCATCAACACTACCATCACTTGCTCTCTTGCTCATGTTGAATAGGGATGCAAAAATGCTGTAAGAAACCTGAGAAAGTTTTTCTCCTGTTCCTGTCCAGATGCGTGAAAATAATAGGCCTGCCAAGCTCAGAGTGTTGTTTACCACTCGTTAGCAAGGCAGCTTCTTTGCGCAAGGCGCTCTTCATTTTTTTTACAATAATTTTTTTTAATACATATCAGGATTTAGTTATTATTTATATGGAAATGTATTTAAATGTAAATTTATTTTATTTTTATTATATTTTGGTAGTAAATATGAATGAAATAAGGATGTAAACTATATTATCTAGGATTTCAAATACGAAAAGTTGTTGGACGAATCGGTGTTATCCGAGGCTTACTGTACAGAGTGCCAAGAATTAATGGATATGGAGAGAAACTGCTAGATATATGCATAGAGGAAGGTTTCATCATAGGGAATGCGTGCTTTAAAGAAGAATGCAATGTATACATGGAGGTTATTGCTCTTAACTTGGCAACTTGTCATACAAGGAGACCTGGAGGTTCTGTGACACCACCTCCTCCCTCTTGTTTCACTTGGTTTTATTATTTTGAGAGCTGCATGGCTTGGCCCTCAACTGATGGCTAAAGATTCCCTACTCTGCCCCATATGCACAAAAATGGAATGCAAAGAACATGAAATGTCCAAGGATGATGGTCGCTGTCCCTACAACTAACTTCAATATTGATGCTTGTCATTTAAGGGTAAAGAGTGATAGTAATACAGTCACAAGAATGGAGGATTAATCCTGAAATTCTTATTTTAAGCACAGCCCAAATTTAGGAGGCTTGAAAATCCTCTTTCCACCCTTGGGTTTGTTACTACAGTACTCATCTGGGAATGCGAAGCTTAGATGATTGTATTAATATGGATTTGCTTGGTTTCATAGATTCACGTTTGTTGTGTGTTGATTGGGCATCCATGTCTCCAGTAAGACTTGTCAGCCTTCAGGGAGCCTGAGGCTGGCTTTACCAGAGGAGGGATGGGTGAAATGACATATCAAAATGGATTACCAGCATCAGTTTAACCATGGGATGATATTAAAAGGAGCCAATCCCAAGTGATATAACCCCATTATAGGCCTTCTTGTAATATAAGTCCTCAATTTTGCATGTATTTTGTGACATTGTATTGGTTTATTTTATCAGTGCAAATAAAAAAAAGAAATATAGGTACAGTATGTATACTTAAATATAATCAGCAAATAACAGTTTGTGTGCACCTTTACAAAATAACTTATCTTTTTAGTAGTGAAAATTTATAGCGTAGTATAATGCACAGCTTAATAATAAATAGTGTACTGTACTTATAAATGAGTTTTGTGTACAGGTGTGTGCAGATCAGGTGTATGTGACTTCTATGTGCAACTGGGAACATTTACCAAAGAAAAATTTCCCTCTCATCTTCCATGCTGCCAGAGGCAGAGATGACCGAGAGGGAACTTCACCCAGCTTCTTCAATGCTCTTGAGGTTTGTCTGCCTGCTTATTGAGAATCCTTATCTAACATAACATAACCTGCCTAGCTATGACACTTAATATTACACATGAGTAGTTTGTCTTAGTGTTTAACCCTTTAGGTGGATCTTTGTTCAAATGGAAGGGGTTGGAAACTAAGGTTTTAATAGGTTTACATAATAAACTTTGTGATAGCAGGTTTGGTACAGTGCAGTCATGATAATTCACATGTTAGGTACCAGAAGACATTGTGACTTATCAAATTGCAAATTATAGTTTAATTTATTTAAATAAAAATATTTTGTTAGATTCCAGAAGCCCAAAATTACTCATGAACTGTTCCACAACTGCTTTAAAAACACTAAATATCATACATTAACAAATACAGTAACACTTAGACATTGTCAAAAGGTAGTTATATATTACATAAAACAAATTCCCTTATCATAATCAACCTCTGGGTGACAATAAAATACCCCCTGTATGTCAACATCAAGACAGGCATGGGCTGGCTGGCTAGTTAGTCAGCTGGTCGCCCTATGTAAACCTACCACCAGGAATTTAAATGACAATATTTCATATAGGAATGCGTGGGTTTTTTTGGGGGGGGGGGGAATTTGTAATTTTACGATAATGTTTCACTAACCAGGCACCAAAATCAACCTTAAAAATATGGAAATTATGGTGAAATTGCAAACATTACTATTGTTTTAATGGCATTGTGGGGGTGAGGGAGTCTCCTGTAGCAGAGGGGAGGGAATTTCCTGTTCAATCCAGCCAGCCCAACTGCCCTACCTCCCATCTCTCCCACACAGAATTCACTTCCCACTCTTCATTTTTCTTATTTGTATATTATATTTTCTTTATTTCTAAGTTACATTAGTGCATTGAGACGATATTTCCACAACTTTTATTGTTTCTTCTGTCGATAAACACTTTCGGCCACGAATTATGAATATAGGTATACTTCTGACAATGAAGTGGATGTAATCACAAAATCCACTGCATTCTGGTATTTAAGAACGTGAGTTTGTGTTTCACAAATTATCATGATGGCACTAGTTAAGCAAGTGAGCCTTCACTAATTTGATACTGTCATTTATGGGCTCTATTAATAATGATTTCTTGTCAAACTCTGGTGACCATACTTCATTAATTATTACGCTTGCTTTAGTGTTAATGGAATTAGAACAGTTGTATCAGCACTAAATCACCATATCTTGTGCATTTTTGTTTTACCCAGGTGTCTACTGTGATTGGCTATGTGAAGAAGCTCCTTGATACTCGCAGTCCCAAAGTCATGGCCAGGGATATAGGAATAATTACTCCCTATAGGAGGCAAGTGGAAAAGGTGAGTTTCTAATGCAGGTTTTTTTACTGGGAGATGGTAGATATGAACAAGGTGTTGCAAAAGGCATGTAATATGTCTAAACAATTTGACCTGGACCTTTTGACACTAAAACCCATAAGCTTCTGAATGTGTAAGGGAAAATCCTAAGTAAACAATGGTGTAAGGTATGTGCTAATATGGCATAGTGTTTACAGATAGACAGTTCCCAGTCACTGTATGGTTTGCAGTGGACATATTCAAACAACATGATTTTTGGGTGTAATTTGATTTGGTTACATCAAATTGTTTTGTTTTAGGGGTTGGGACGCACTGAATCGATCCCCTTTATTCTTCGATTGTTATATGAAGGACTGAGGGAGATGGTGAACATGTTGCAAATAATAATGTCTTCTGAAGATGCAGAAAACTTCTGGATATACTGTAGTACTAACAAGAGTTTTTTATCTGTCCTATAAGAGAGAGAGAGAGAAACCATTTACAGTATTACCTCTGTATACTGAACTTCTATATACCGTACCAAAATTCACTAAATACCATACTGCTCCTAAGATTCCAGTACAAACTCCCTGGGTTATGGATGAGTTCTGTTCCTGGAGGCTATCCATTAGCCAGAATGATCCTTCCATAGGTAATCATTGAACACACAAAGTACTCATAATGTTTATACATGTACTGTACAGTTACTATACAGGTATGGGATCATTTATCCGAATACAGTACTTGGGACATGGGGGTGCTGGATAGAGTTTTTTCTGGAACTTGGAGCACCAAGCTTAAAATGTACAAAATGTCCTGTAAACCCTCTTTCACTGCCTGTGAAGATTGTTCAGATCACTAGATTCACCCCTAAAAGTAGCTTTATCTGTACACTGTAACATTAAAACTTTTAAATTATAGGCATATAAACAACAAAAACAAGAGTATGTCAACAGCATCAATAAAAGCATAAAGAGGGCAAAAGTGATACAAGTTAGTGTTCAAACTGCGTCGCAGTCGCCCCTGGTGCTTGCCTTAGCAACGCAGCAGCATCCCGAGCAATGGTGCTCCGCCACGGACCATCTGACCTCCACACATTCGACACACAGTTTCACTGTGAAAGCCCGTTGATGAAACTTTATACCTATTGCTGTATGATAATTATTTATTTTATTTATATATGCACTTTTGTATCTCGGACTGTGTGTGTGTAACGAGTGAAACATTAAGAAAAATCAAGAAAATTGTATACAGTATATCTACCTGAAATTATGAATTTGAAATACTTTTTACCTTACCATAATTTTCTGTTATGTTTTTCTTCAGTTTCTGTATATAAGATTGAGTGTGTATGTACAGTAATTAGAAAAAGAAAAAATTACATGCAATATCTACGCTCAATCCAGGAATTATTTGGGGCTCATTTTAAATAGGACTTATGGGACAGTAAATCCGAAGATGAAAATTACGGTAAGCAACAGGAAAATTAAACGAGCAAAATTTTGTGTATTTGTGAAGTAACATTAGCTGTGATGGTAGATGTGCAAAAGAAATCATAACAAGGATAAGTTAAGCAAAAACAGCATTTAAAAATCTAAAAGATCTAATGAAAAAGGATATTAACTTCAATTTGAGAAAAAGGCTGCTGAAAGACGAGGGCTACTATTTGGGTCAGAAGCGTAGACACGTAGAGCAGACACCAGAAAGAGGTCGGAGGACTTTGAAATGTGGTGTTACAGTATAAGCGAATGCTAAGAAAGAGTTACACTGACAGGAAAACTAATGAAGTCATGCTAAGGTTAGCAAAAACTTCAAGAGAAATACTGTACTTGAAATGTACAGAAAAAGAAAAATGGGATACTTTGATTATATAATTAGGGATGAGGGGATAATAACAGAACTATTAATGGGCAAAGTTGAGGGTAGGAGGGCCAGGGGAAGGCAGAGACTGGGATGGATTAATAAAATTATAAACTGGGTCCCTAGAGAGATGCAAAGCCTTGAAGGATTGGTAAAAACAGCTAGAGAACATTAGCCCTCTCAGCCTCTCACGATGCCTTTGTGGCGTCGAACATAAAAGGCGAAAAAACTTACGCTCAGCCTCGCTACGCCAACGTGGTGTTCAATGGGCTATATTTTCAAATATAACTCGAAACTATTCAGTGAAACTGACTCAACTTTGGACGCCATTTGACAGATGTCGTATTCTTTGTGTGGGCCTTGTTACCTTCCCCGAGATGGTCTTGGTCATCGTGTGCATGGCAGTGTAGTAGGAAGCCAGTGTCGCTCAGCCCTTTAAATTTTCCATGTGTTTTGTGTTATATTATTTTTCCTTATACCACAATATTCTACATGCTTTGTTCTTTATTTTGGTATACTGTATATTACATATCAATGAACACCGTAATACAAGGAAAATGTGAATGGAAATCGATGTGTTACTAAGCATTTTCCTGCCTTTTCAACTTATACAATACTCAAGTAAAGTAGCTTAAATTTCAAGAATTTTAGTTTTTTTATGGCTTCATACAATTTTTCAGACAATTTTATGCTGTAAGAGATCCCATTACAATTAATAAAACAATTGCCTGGCAGTGAAATGAGCCCTAACCAAAAAATTATTTTTCAACGATTTTTCGGCCACAACCTCCAAGACTGAGAGTAAGTTTTCATGCACGTATGCGTCTCAGGTTCCAAGGCTGAGAGGGTTAGAGTGGAGGACTGATCGCCAACCCTCATATCTGAGGACTGTACTCATTGATTGATGATAGAGTATTCGTAAAGTCAGAGATCCATAACCCGGGAAGTTTCTGTACTGTATTACCCTTTTATACCGAACAAATTCCCTATACAGTGCAGTATACCAAAAAACTCCATATACCATACTGGCTGCTTGCCAGTTATTTTGGTATGGAGAGGTAATTGTATTAAATTTTCTCCATAAAGGTGCTTTGAACTATTTAACAAGTATTTGGGGTACTTTCCAGCTTACTTAATATTGTAGAAAGGGGTTGTTGTTTAAGGATTATGCATATATTATATTTTGCCATTTTGCAAATGGAAAGTTTACTGATTGGCCCATACTTGCAGTACAGTACAGGTATAACCAATCCTTCAGGAACTTGAAATTTCCTGTAAAGTATTTCAATTATCTTATATTTCATGAACAATTTATCTGTAATTGCATAATTAATTTTTTCAACAGATCAGGAATCAATTGAGGAAAGTTCATAACACAAATAACTTGAAGGTGGGCTCCCCAGAGGAGTTTCAAGGGGATGAGCGTCGTGTCATTATCATCTCCACTGTCCGTGCATCTGCTGATCAACTGGCTAATGACCAAGTTTTCAAACTTGGATTCTTACGGAATCCAAAGGTACCACAAATGTTTTTCTGCTACTAAAACTATGGAGTGTAACTTTGAAAAAGGAGCCATTTTAAGATTGGAACTTTCTGAGTGTATCATCATATTCTGGTGTCTATTTTTGAGAGTACTGTATTGGAGTGTCAAAGTTGTAGAGGTGTTAAGGCCTTTTGTATGGTGTATGTTATTCATTAATGCCTAGCCACACCCTTCATAAACTTATACAGCACTGTATATCTCCCAAATTCTTCATTCCTCTTCCATAAATTTTTCATTTCACTTGCCTGAGTTGTTTACTACTCTACCTGAGTGTGTTGTCCATATCTGTTTCCTGAGCTGTATCATTGGAAGGTTGGCAAGGAAGAGTGCAAAAATTATAGAGGAACCTGTGTGCTGCGTACATATCTGGGGAATAGTGCGGGAGAGTGGTGATTGATAGTGTAAGGAAAATATTAGTGCAGTACAATCATCCCCTAATTGGTCTGGATGTTATGTACCTAAAAGAGGTCGAGATGGTTTGATGTGCAATTGATTCAAACTTGACTACTTTTAGGAAATGAGTGAATGAAAGATGTACTGTACACTGATGAGTCATTTGCCGAAGGCTAAGAGAGAAGAATTTATCCCTGGAAATTCAAGCTACAGAAATGAGTTGCCTGAGGACTGCATCTGGGAGGTTTAACTGCCGAATGGTTCGACAGTTAGATGACGTCACGTCTTAAGGGTGAGAGAATCCCGCAACGTGGACTCAATCAACGTTTATTGATTGATATGGTCAAAACCTGTAAAAGTTAGACACTCGTTAACTACTGAATGCATTCCATTACATGTATACATTACATTATACGTCGGTTAGTAAATACAGTAAAGCCTCGAATAAAGACGTTAATATGTCCTCCAATATTGCAGCGCAAGGTGAATCATCGTATCGTGAATCATTAATTACCATTAAAATAAAGCAATAATAATGAGATGCATTCCCTAGTGTGGCTGTTTACCCACTTTTTGCCCAAAACAATACAATTATTGAAAAATGCTAACTCTATTCCTTAAATAATGTTTATGAATGGACCTTATACAATATAAAATAATAATAATATGGTCACACACGAGGAGATGGGACGCCATTGTTTTCTTTAGTGTTAACAGCCGGGAGTCCGTGACGATAGTTCTACATGAGAAAATAATACCCTGGTTGCAGCTGTAGTAAAATTAATGTATAAAAATGAATATACATGTATATGTTTTAAGTAATGTTATTAATGTTAATAAATGTAACAATAGAAGTAGCTAACCACTAATGGCAAAGAAAAAAAAGTGGGATGGATTGGGAACGCCAACATATACGTGCGCATTTAAGGATACCCCGTCATTTATCTTTTGAAGAATTTGTACAAAAGATTCATTATTGTTTATTACTGAATATGTATTTGATTGAATTAATCTTTATATATGCGAAATGAACAATAGGATTCATTAATAATGCGTAGAATATTAAAACACACAAGAGGTTAAGAGACGGCATTGTTGTCGGTGTTTACACCCATACTGTCAGTTATCCACCTGAAACTGAAGAAAATAAGACCCTGGTTGTTGTTGTCGTAAAATTAATGTAAAAAAATATGTATGTTTTAATTAATGTTAATTAATGTACAGTAGAAATAACCACTGATATTCAAGAAAAAAAGTGAGACTGATAGTGGAACGCCAATGTATACCTGCACACTCAAGGACACAGTCATATATCTTAAGAATATGTACAAAAGATTCAATATTGTTATTTTACTGAATATGTATTTGATTGAATTAATGTTTAAACAGGTGTATATGTGAAATGAACAATGCAATTCAGTAATAATACATAGCATATTAAAACACACAAGAGGAGACAAAGCGACATTGTTTTCGTGAGTGACGATGGTTCTACATGAGAAACTGAAGAAAATAAGACCCTGGTTGTAGCTGTAGTGAACTTAATGTAAAAAAAATGAATACCTGTATGTATGTTTTAAGTAATGTTATTTAATGTTAATAAATGGAATAATAGAAGTAGCTAACCACTAATGGTAAAGAAATAAAGCGAGACGATTGGGAACGCTAACGTATGTGCAGTAAGTGTGTAAATGTGAGAGAAAATGATACAGCAAGGTTGTCTTGTAATAGGGTAGAATGAAACCTCATCCATTGTTGTCACCCCCTCCAAGTTGAGCTTCCTAGGAATATAAGACATCACATAGGCAGAAAACATTCAATCCCCTTCCCAAAGTTTTTTGTAATTTTTTTCTCATCACTTTTGAAATTCTACTTTCACATTTAGCCAATTCATCTCATTCTACGTTAACTTCACCAACTGTTTAACATATATATATATTGACGCACACTGGTAAAACAAAGTATTTTTCCTTCAGAGGTTCAACGTGTCTGTGACACGTGCCAAGGCACTCCTCATCATCGTGGGCTGTCCTGAAATCCTCCAGCTGGATGAGTAAGTTTTGTATTTGCCTATATTGTATTGAACTTCAATTTCTTCACAATAAAATTTCATATTTGGCCCTCAATGAAATGTTTTTGGTTCAATTCCAGATTAGTGTTGAGGACTGGGTTCCTTCCTTGTTCTTTGACTAGTTTAATTTGTAATGTAACGATCCAGATAATTAAAGCATTTTGATATGCTGATAATTAATGTCATCATTCCCCTGTGAGGTTTAGTAACCTAATCATTAATGTGAATGTATTACAGCAAGTGAATATAGATACAGTAAATTTTATTTGCTCTTAACTCTGTCCATTTTGCAGTACAGCAGAAGTGTTGAAAGATTGGAAAAGGGGTAAGAAATTACAATGCAAATAATTTATGTAATTATTACAGGCACTGGGGCAAGCTTCTAGACTTCATTCGGCAGAGAGGAGGATACCGAGGTCATTCATATTCTCGTGGCGGTCTTGATGACTTTGATGACATTCTGACAAGATTTGAAAATCTCAACCTTCGTAAGTTTTGTTTAGATAAATTAGTGTGTAATTATAAAAGTAGTAGTAGTAGTGATAATGATGAGGATATTAATAATAATAATATAATATAAAGTAAATTTATATCTAAGGATTGGGCACATACTAAATAACTTTGGATCCAAGAGTACAGTGAATGAAGTACAATGAAAAACCCTTAGTGTTGGATTATTGAAGTCACAGCTATATTGTTACTCAAACAGAATCTGTCATTCAAGTGTACATATCAGCAAATAAGGCCCAACTATTCAAAATAACAGGCAGCATATTACACAAACACAGATAGGCTTATTTAAGCTCATATATATTAGCTCAATTTTTTTGATGCCATATGGCAGCAGGGTCTACCATCAGACAACACATTATGCTTCCAATATCTTCCCAGGTGATAGTACCACCCTGCTTGATAGCTGCCTACGTATCTTAAAGTTTCATCATTCCATCGGTAGTACTGTAGATTAAGTGAACCAACAGGGGTGAGATGGACATTTTTGGGTCACATGAAGGGAAACATCATAGCTGAACAAAGCTGTTACAGCAGCTCGAGTGAATGAATGACTGTGAAGGAAAGGAGAGTTTGTATTTGCTTATGCATACTGTTACCCAGCAGGACTGAGTTTGCAAGATTTGATAAATTATTAAAAAGGAAACTTTCTTTAGTGGTCCTCAGTCTAATATACTGTACACATATCTTCAGAATTTTCAAGTTTTGGAGTTGCATCTTCAACATATTTTACAATATCTACTTTTTTCTCATCATGCTCTTTCACACATGCTTCCTAACTCATTTGTTTATTGTGTTATTATTTTTACAGGTCCAGTATTAGGAGAAGATGTAAGTGCTCGAGAGTTGGCCGAGGCCCCCGAGTGGCGCGCGGAGCACTAACAGAGATGCATAGGTCTTAAGCTCGTTCACACAAGAGGCCTTATAGAAGTCATACACAGTAGACATGACAATCAAGGTGGGGGTTTAGTCTTCACTCTCAGATGATATTGTTGTGGATTATTAGTTTTTAGAGCTCTCTTATTAATGAACAAGCATTTCATAGACTGAGCAAAATAAGTGATTAAAAGACTGATAGATTATATATTTGTCTGGGGGCATTAGAACATCACTTAAGGAGACAAGGAATTTAATGTGATGGTGCTTTTTATTGTGATGTAGCATTTTACTACTGATATGTTCCTTTAATGTAAAATATTTTCTTCTCCATTTTTAAGACACGAAGTCCCTTAAAGTGTTTTATATTTTGTGGATAGGCTAGTTTCTGGTGCCAACTTGTACATAACACATGCAGGTTGTACACTGATATTTGAAAAAAAAAAATTATTGTTGTGGTGTCACTTTTCCAACTTTGTTCTTAGATATAATAAGCATCCAGTTTTAATTATATTTGTATTTTTTATATTTTGATTGCTTTGTATTAGATACAGTAAAACCTCGATACACCAGACTAATTGGGACAGACCCCAGTCTGGAAAATGCGAAGTCCGAAAAAAGCAAATCTGTGGGGGAGGGGGGGGGCTGGACTGGACATAACACTGCTGATCAGGAGTTTCAAGAAAGTCACTTGTTATACAGATGAACCCCGATAATCAACGTCCCATTGACCGTCGATTCGTAAAATCGACAAGTACATACTGTACAGTATAGGGGAAATACCCAGAGTTTTGACAATTGGCAGAGCTGGTGTGGTGCGAATTCTTGCCGCAAGAGGACTCTGCGCGCTGCTTCCGACTCATTCCCACCATCTTTGCTATTGTTTACACTTACTATGTCTTTTTTTTTTAACTACTTCGTGTGCTACTCAATCATGTTTAAACACCCCTGTGATAGTTCATCTTATGCAGGGCAACTTGATGTGATGTGATAAAGTATAATAAAAGTGGTGATGGACCAACAAAGAGTGGTAGAGACCTGAACTTGCCACCCTAGACTGTCTCTGCCATCCTCAACACAGGTAAATAAGTCTCAATTTATGCTTTACATTGCTGGTTGAAGGCTTATTATGGTTGCTTTATTTTCTTGCTTGACAGTGTGCAATACAGAGATATATCTTGACTAGATGGGAGTTTTTGATGGGTGGCCTGCCCCTAACCCACTGAATTTATGTTCTTATAGGATTAATTGCTTCAATAACCGTTGATTCACTAACCAGTGACACTACCTGGTCCCTATATGCGTCTGTTATCGGGGTATGCCTGTACAGTACTGTAATTACTGCAATTCAACAACTAAGGTCTAGTCTTTAAGTGCATAACAAGGTTAGTAAAACACATCTACAATAAAAAAAATGAGATGAAATTTTCTGAGTTGAAAATCAGACAAAGTCTGGTTGTCGACAACTATTTTTACCGAGATGATTGTTTCGTACTGTCAAGTTTTATATGTAAAAATCCACAGAATTTGTCTTATGAATATAGAAAAAAACTGTATACTGTACAGTAGTATAAAATAGAAATAAAGAAAAATTAAGTCTAAAGGTATATTGTGTGTGGGAGAGAAGAGTGGTTTGGGTGGGGTGTGGTGACCCCCGTATCCCATTAACATGTGTTTATGCAATTTCACCATAATTTTCATATCATTTAGGTTCATTTGCTGCTGGGTTGATATAATTTTATTATAAATAGTCATCTTTCCTGAAAAAAGAATCCCACACTCAGCACCATGAGTCATTGTGGTCGTTTGGATACATTGCCAACAGCTGATCAACCTAGTTCCCTCGTTTGCTTATCACAGCATCTGTCTTGAGCAGTGAGTCAATAGTACTGCAGTGAATGTATCATCACTTCATTTTCTTCATTATGTAAACAAATATACTAACATTTGGAAACTTCTCATGACCTTAAATAACAATGAATAGTTTATTATTATAAAAATTCTACCTTTGGTTTGCTTAATAATTATCCTGACAGTGTTACAGCCGAATATAATTTGCATTGCTGGAATTCTTGTAAGATAGCGATTAATTTGAGTATAAACATCACTTATTTTGCACACACACACACACACACACACACACACACACACACACACACACACACACACACACACACACACACACACACACACACACACACACACACGGGAATGAACCTTTTTTGTGGGGGTGAGGGGTGTTGCGGTCACTTTTACCCCCCAATAGAGGTGGGTTGTTGACAGCAGGAGGTAGGAAGATTAATGCAAACTCTAGGATTATGAAAGCAGGGGGGTTTAATTTTTTGCTTCTAAAATGTCACTGACTCAACTTAGGAGAATATAACTTGCATTGCTGGAATTCTTGTAAGATGGCGATTAATTTGAGTATACATAAACATCCCATATTTTGCACCATACATAATAATTTTAGTAATTAACGTAGTACATTTGAGTACAGGCTGTGATAATTTATTGAGTACAGGCTGTGATAATTTATGTGTTTAGTTTCAAAGCTTTGTTACATCACTAATGTATAATGAGTCCCCATATACCCTGGTTTATTCATTGATCAATTGTAAGGCAAAAGTAGCCCTGTCAAGCTATCATGTGTCAATTAGTTTTAAAATATAAATTATGTAAAATGTTATGAGACAATGGTTTAGTAGTGTTGTTAATGTGTGTGCTTTGTAAGTGTCTTGGCATGTCACCTCGCCACCTGACTCCTGAACAAACTCTTAATCAACTTCAAATCCTACAATGTGCTTGGCAAGCTCAAAACACACACACACACATGGGAATTAAGATGACAAGCATCCAGTGAGGGTCTTGTGTGACTGCATGGAGGCGAATTAAAAGATGAGCTGTTGAGGAGCTTATCGCTTGGCAACACTGGTGCATGTTACCACTCTTTTCCTCTCTATCTCTCTAATCACCTACACCTTTCTGCTTTCTCACTCCATATTTTAAAATGTTATGTAATGTAATGTTGAAGGGATACAACTTTGCTCATTTATACTTATACTTATCACAATCTCCCTAAAAATACTTAGCTTTCATGTTTATTCAAGACATCTTCAGGTCATGAGACCCACTAATCCCCCAGCCAAGAAAGGGTGACCTGACATTCCATCAGAAGGTCAGTAATATGAGACCACTAATCCCCACCTTACCTCTACCTGACATTGAGTCAGGTCAGGTCCCCCACAAAAATAATAATAATAATAATAATAATAATAATAATAATAATAATAATTAAATTAACTTTAACTTTCATCTTTATTCAAAAATTTTTCAGAAAATTCACTCAATTTTCAACCCCGTAAAAATTTTTCCCAAAGCCGGAATTTTTTGGAAAATTTCAACCTTGGGAATGATTTTCCGAGCATATTTAAATTGCGGCTATCGGAGATTACAGGGCTTGAGGGATTCCGGCTAAAGGAGATATTACTGTATTGTTTTTCTATTATTAAAGATTTCATATTCATCATGATGAATCGCACACCATAAGAGGTTGATCATACGAGAATATAGCACTGTATTGAATAAAAAAATAAACCTCACAAATGTGGCATTGTCCGTTTCTTAAAATATATACAGGTACTCTACATTATTTTAACTCATTTCTTAAAACCCTCAAGATAATACGTACTTCTTCATAAAAATTTCACATAAATGAGTGTAGGTAGCGATGTGCGACACACTAATACAGTATTATACATATGAAGGCAGGAATCAGACTGAGTTATGTGCCACGAGACACTCACGAACAGACATTCTACTGCATGTACAAACACAGGAACCGTCCAAACCAAAGCTGGATTTTACGGACATTTTAAAAATATTTCTGGTGAATAGAGGGGTGGCCCAGAGCACCTCAGAGTTGCAAAAAAAGCAAATTGTGGTGTATTGAAGTCAAGTGTATTGAGGTTTTACTGTATATCTTAACCTAACCAAAGTGGATTCTCAGTTTTTAGTAAGAATAGATACAATTTAAGTTCTTGAGCAATTTTAAAGAAAAAATAAGAGTTCTTGAACCATTTTCAGCCTTCTTCATTTCAAACCAAATCATCTATTTTTCCAGTTAAAGAATTTTTTTTAAAAGGTTTTAAATTAAACGTGTGTATCTTTAAATTGAATACGCACTTAACTGCCATATAGTAAAATACTGGAAATTTGCCAGTATCCTAAAACTGAAATATAATTGGATTTGTGTTCCCCTGCTGGGGGAGGTCACCTAGATTAACTGTCTTTTAGTATTACATTCTTGCCACCTCCAAGACTAACTGAAAAGATGGTGTGTAATGGAGAAATTAAACATTTAATCTTAAATTTATCATATATTTTATTGTAAGTTTTTACTATTTTAAATGAATTTTCATATGTACTGTATCATAATTATAAAATACAGTAATGCCTTTATTAGCAGTAGAACTGTATTCACAGGAGATAAATTATGGTATGTAAGAGTATTGATCTTAGCAAACAAAAAGATATGATTGGCTACTCTTAAGGAGTATAATTTATTTAATGAAAAGTCAGAGGCTAAAATTTTATGATGGTAAAAGAACAATTTACAACTGTATTTGTATGTGCTGTATGTCGTGTACGTATTCATGAATTGTAAAGTGTAACAAGCGTCACGGAATTTTATTTTTTTTGCTTTGGAAAGTTTCTATACATGGCCTGTCTTCATGTACTAAATCAGGCCTCAGAGCTGGATGGATAGATATGTAAAATCGGTAGCAAGTTCTACAATTATTTCTACATTTTATGTGTTGAATTAGACTCCTTTGAACATTAATGGACCTCTTATGTCAAAAAATTTATTGTTTCTTTATTAGTACATTACTGTTGGATCTGTTGAACAATATTCTTCACTTGAGTGGATTACTAGTAACTGGATCGCTAGTGCTGTACATCACTACCATTCATCGATAGTAACTATACATCATTGGTGACTACATCACAAGTGACTTCATCATTAGTCGCTGAACATAATCAATTGTACCTGCCAACTATAGTTGTATTGTAGATGTACAGGCTCGTTCAAGATTCTTCGAACACTGCTGGAGACAGCTGGCAACTCAAGATCGTTTATTTATTGTAGTACGTAGTAAAAATTATGAATAAATGTAAAAGTGATCGGTTACTTAGTTCCCCGTTGCTTAATTTAATGGTTGGCCTTTGTTGTTTCGTATTATATTATACTAAGTACTGTACTATAGTAAACAAACGGCCTTGAATTGCCAGCTGTCTCCAGCAGTGCTCGAAGAATCTTGAACGAGACTGTACCTTAACCAAAGTATTTGGGAATGAGGAGGATAAATTTTTTCTATGTACCTGCCACTAAGAATACGGTATTTGACAGTGTGCCTCACAAAATTTTTTTTCAGTACTTGAGCCTAATGAATATATGTTTGTTTTGATATATGTAATATAGTTGAGGATTTGAACACTGTCCATATCACAAATTCAGCCATATTCAGGTATGTGTAAAACCTCATGTTCTCTCCTGCACATTGACTACATCCATAGAACCAGAAATGTCCATACACATTATTGCACCAACATGTCATTTCTTGGGTGGAAAATTATGCTATTGTAGATTTCAAGCTGTTGGAATGAGTTACTTGTGATATGCTTGTGGTATTAACATATTGAATGATAAGCAATAATGAATCATAGGCTGTGAGAGATTGCAAATTCTGTCAGATATAGGCTTGTGTGGCATCATAGAGAGGGCTAGAAAAAAATGCCTATGGGTGGTTTGGGCATGTAGAATGAATGGTGGGTGATGAGACTACAGAAAGAGTGCAGGACAGAGGTAAAAGGGGTAAATGATGGGATGATATCTAGTCTCTCTTCTAAGATGGGAATGAACCAACTTGTCAGTTGTGTTAAGGGAGGCTTTATCTTTTTTACAACCTCCCATAAAGGGTGTTCCCTAGCTTGCTCTGTATGTCTCTCTCATCTAAGCAAGAGAGGAAACAAGGCTTGTGAGATGTATGCCATAGATAGTTGTTGAGGTATTCTGTGATAGTATTTAAGTACCTTAACTTGAACTCTCTACCTGATTTTTTCCCCAGTGAAGAAGTTGTTCCATACATTTCCTGCAACCCAGCATTGGGCATTCTAGTTTTTTTAATGCTTTTTATATTTTTGTACAGTAATAACTGTCATTTGTTGGTTAACTCTTGGCTTCTGTGAAGTAATTAAAGATTAGCTGGGCAGATACATTTCAGATTAATAGATAGTGTTACCCATATGAAAATTTAGGCCTAGTGACAAAGATTGTTGACCAAACAGACAGTATCTATTAATTAATAATTTCCGATGTTGGTATGCTAATATTCATCTCTCTTAGATAGCTATTCTTGTTGGTGTTCCCATATGACCAGGGAACCCAAATATATATTCTTATCCATCAATGAACTATTTTGACCCAGCTTGTATAAAAAACTATTATCTGTTTTAAATGTGTGCAAGCTTTTAAGGTTGGAATAGTTGGGAATCTTGGAGAGACCTTAACATTAAGTAAGTTTAATATGATTATGGTATTTACGCTCTTAGTTTTTCTTTTAGAATTCAAGATGTTGAGTGATTTTTTACACTTATTTAAGGGATGAATAACTCATATGGAGTCTTTAGGATAAAACTGCTCCTGGCCATACTGTTGTAAATACAACACTGTACATAATTTAGGCTCCTCCCGAGGGAATATTTGTACACATTCCAGTTGGACATACATTTACTGTACTTCAAGTGACATTTTCCACGATCATACCTTTAAATCTCATTGTTTATACCGCATACATAAATAAGATTGTGATCAAAGATATGGTGTTTTTCAGCACCATACCTAAATATTATGTACTGGGTACTGTTTTGATTTGTTATGTTATAGTATTTCAGATCTATCTATAATTATTTGATGAGCAAGCTTTTAATACATACTGTCCATCTGAAGTGAT